TTCCATGGAAGAGCCAGATTACTTTACTATAAAGTGTGTTATCTTATCCAAACTAAAGTCTCATGTATGTGGAACTGAGAGAACGCTGAGCAAGTTCTCACTAATGATTTCTGACTAATCTTCCTTAGTAATTACGGGAATGTAAGTGTATGCAAGATGCTATTCATTTTCTTCTTCGTACAAATACAGAATAAAATAACCAGTCATGCTTTTTTTTTTTTCTTTTTGGTATTGCAAATTTTAGAAATTCCAAATCTTTACGTATGATGGCAGAAGACATTGCTGTTCTAAGGCAGCTGCTTAGCAACACTGCTTTGCTGTTTCGCAATCAGCCAGCTCTTCCCACACACTGCAGTGAAATGTACGTCATTTCACGGTGACTTGCATTCCAGCTTTTCTTTTGAGTTAGTCTTAGATCTCAAAGAAAATGAAATAATAAGAGTTGGAAAGAGTAACAGGAATCTTTGGTGTCTTAACTGAACTTTTTTATAATAGGATGATTAATGCTTTAATATCCTTCTGCAATAACCACTTTCCAGAAGTTCTGGCTAAGAAAACTTGGGTGGAGCCCAAGAGCTAATTCAAAGCACTTGGGAAACCCCCCCCCCCCCCGAAGATCCCCCCTCAGTTGGGTCCCAGCATTTGATGTATAGCTTCTATATAAATGTGTGCATGGTCATATTCCCTCTTGCTCCTCAATTGCCCAAAGTCTTAAGAATTTTCAATAGCAGCAGAGGCTGCATTTGGTAAGAATGGGTGCTGGAGAAGATAAGCAGTGAGAGCAGAATTGATCAAGCTGTCTGTATACATAAACAGAGATGCAGGAATCAGAGGAAGTTAACGCAGGAATCCTAATTTCAAGTTTGAGATTGAAGTCACCAAACCACTCTATTTACTGACAACTACTGAACACTTTTGCTGTACTTAGAGCTTTACTGCAGATTACAAAAGCCAGTTCATGTCAGAGGAGCACAGATAAGGTGGTAAAAAGACCCTTTATGGTTTTTCATGTACTGTCACGGAGTCTAAGATTTTAAAAATATTTTTTTCAGCAGGGCTAAAACTGACTGTTCTATTACTAGCTTTAAAATTTTTTTTCAGTCATGTAACAGTAAAATAAAACAGTCTTACAGACTTTTTCCATTCTATGCATTTCATTAGAAACATTTAAATATAAAGCTAAGATTTCAAAGTGATGTACTGGTCTGAATTGCTGATTGTTCAAACAGTGATGTATTACTCAAACCAATAATTGAATAATAAACCGTTGCAAATCCTCTAAGTTAAGGATAAACAACATGCAATTAAGTAAGAATTAATTTTTGTCTTGTGGATTCACTTCTACTGGGAGCAAACCAGTTTTTTAAGAGATTGGTGTAGGATTTAGTCTGTGACTTGAAAGTTGAGGGCTCTGAGTTCAGGCTTTTAACAGTCAGTGAGGGAGGGTTATCTGACAAAATTAACTTAACTGGACCGTGGTGGACGTGCTGCTTTAGTCCAGTGTTCTGCATATGGAGAAGAAACTTCTCATCATACTCCTAGGAACAGACCAAGTTTGTCCAGTTTTTTCTATTACGTACTTTATGATCTAGGTATTATTGTGTTCCCAGACCTGCTAGGTAAAATTATCACATGATGATTTTCACAAGACAAGAATAGGAAATAGTATGAGAAATAAACTTGACTCTTTTGCAGGAAATGGTCTTTAATGTTTCCTTTCAGTACTGTTGTCACTGCGGGTGGAACTAAAAGGGATTGAGTCTCTCTAAAAGGATGAAAGCAGTAGGTTTTTGCAATGTAACAAGTACAGTATGTAATTTTTTTTGTGTGCGTGAAAAAGCAATTTAGTACAAGGCTTCTTATCCAAATTGGTGTACGTGATTTATCTAAGTAAAATATCCTTTCAGAAGAGATGAAAATAGCGTTGCAGAGCCACATTAACTGGAATGTATTTCTTTGTTAAAATTATGCCATACCAAAAACCTTTTCCACTACTCTGTTGTTTGGTAAACTAAGATGGGATGTTACCTGTAATTTGATGAATCACCAACTTTGGGAATTGGCATTAATTTCCTTCGTTGTGACAAATGACACTGCTGTGAGAGGTGTCTCAGGAATTCCAAGTACTTCTAAGTTGTTAGTCACTGAAACCTAATAATGGTGGGGAAAAACAGTGATTGTAAAATAGGTATGTGACTTACCTTGTTAAAAATTCAACTTTGAAGCTTCTTTCAATTTATGGATGTAAGAGACTTAAAGAACTAGTAAAATAAGCTCTGGTTGTATTCCTATTGGAAAAAGCTGATTACTGTCTACCAGTAGCTAAGTATGCTTAGGGATAGAAATAGTATTTAGAGTTCCTGAAGAAGATGGTATACTGAGGTGCCAGATTGCTTCTCAAATTGTTTAGCCAAAAAAAGGAGATAGTAAGGTTTTAGACATGTGGGACTTTCTCCTTGGCCTGGTTGTTCGGTATCATTAAACACACTGAATGATGAAATTAACCTCGTATTAAGTAACATGAATGTTAATATTTGCTTTTTGCTTCTGTGAGTCTGGATATATATCCAGAAGACCATAAGGTGCTTGATGTTATGGTTGCTTTTGCTAATTCCTCTTCTTCCCATGTGACGTGTAATCTTCTGTTGCCATTTGGAAATCATACATTGCTTGTCTTCAATCATCTGTTTTGCAGTGCCAGGATTATTAGATGGCCACTATAGCGGTGCCCTCTGTCTGCTGTGAGGCTATGTGGTGTTTTCTTAGCTTGTGTTTTATTTGCCGTAGAAAGGCTGAGCAGCGCCAGGGTGTTAATTAGACTTTTTGCAATGTGTTAATTAAATTTTATAAATGCATGTTGAGTAGATCCAGTGGAACCGGTTTTTGAAGTAAAATACAAACACTATGCACTCAGACTTCCTCCATAAACAAATGATTGTGATTCATCTTGCAGTATTTCATGAACTGTACGGTTCTTTCCTGGTTAGTTGTCTGTTCAATGAACACAGGGCTTGGCTTGCACACTCTCCATTTCCTACCTGTAACAGGCACTAAAATGATATCAAAAATAATTTTCTATTTTTGTTTCTTCTTTGAAGATCCCTTGTAAGGTGATACTGGGATTCTCAAGAGCAAACAATTTGTTGAACACAAGGGTGGAGTTGATAAAACTGTACCGTCAGAGGCAGAAATGCATGTTTTCATATTTGGCACCTGTGTTCTGCACTTGCTGGCAATCTATAAATATTTACATACTGCAAAAGTAAATGAGTTATTGTGGTCGTTGTTTCTTGCTTTGACAGGAATGAGGCGACTCTCGGGGTGTGAGTTCAGTCACAGACTGTACACACAAGTGCAGAGCGTTGCACGTGCAGCTTCTGCTGAAGCTGCCATTTTGTCACCTCGGAAGGAATGCGTCCAAACCTCCTTCCCTTTTTTTGTTCCTGCACGCTTATGCTTTAGAGTATTAACTGACAGTTGGGAAGGAGCATTTCCATTGTCATTTATTTTTCAGTATCAGTGTTTCAACAGTTTTTCGTTTAGCTGCATTTATGTTGTAAGATTTTCCTCGGGACCTGTTTCATACAGAGCATCCGCAAGAGCTCTTGCGTGTCATGCTTTGTTTTGTAAGAAGAGCTCAGAGGGCCCCGTGTAAGATGGTCAGCGTTGTGACAAGTGGTGCACAAATGGTAGTCAGGGCAGGGAAGGGGTATTCCGGATTTGAGGAAGATGGGTGTGCTACCTGTCTCCCACTGAAAGTATCCATTTCTCTACTGTAGAGCTGGGGCACTGAATATCCTAGAGAGCTGTCCACCCCTAACGCTGGCCGGAAAAGGTCACCCAGGCCACGAGGGAGCAGATCCTACTGACATACCAGCTCTGGGAGAAAGGGAGCTGAAGTTCTGCATTTGCAGTGCGATGTGGCTGGCCTGGTGGTCTATGAACACTTCCTGCATCTCATTAAACGCTATATATGAATTTGATACTCTTAACAGGCAACATAACAGCTGGATGAGCTCTCTTGCATAGTAATAGTATTGTTTTAAGGCATGTGCCAGATGTAGGGGCTTATTGCCCACAGGCACTGGTCTGTACAGCTGCTAATATCAGCTTTCTCCTCTCTCGTTCTGTCTGTAGCACGATTTTTCTCCTTGCTTCCTCAAGATGTTATCCACCTCAGCAAACTCTGGCTCCTTTGCTCTCTCAGGGCCTGTCGTGGTGCTGACGGTCCCAGTTAAGCAACAGTTAAATCTGGCCACCTTCCCTTCCCATAATCTCTGGGTTTACTTCTGTGCTGCGTCACATCCACAGAAATCTTCCCTGAGCTGATCAGAAAGATCATTCACTGCTGCTGGGATGTTCATAACAAGTCTGCAAGTTGTTGGATGGACCGTGAGGTTAACAGGAGATGGGTGCTCATTAGATGTTTCAAATTAAAATGCTGACGAGCCGGAGCTGCTGCATTGCACCTGTTGTGTTGTTCGTGCTGCTGCTGTTGCAGCTGCCGCCTCAATCCCTCCCGTGTTCCTCCATGCAAAGTCTGCATCTCTTTAGGAGGTTCTGGAGAACTTAACTCTGAGCTCTTTGCCACAGCAAATTGCCTTCCTGTTGTATAACATCTACCAGTGGTATTGTGCACATCGGGGCCTTGGAGCATTACCGCTATAGAATCATAGAACCACTTTGGTTGGAAAAGACCTTTGAGATCATCGAGTCCAACCTTTAACTTAACCCTGCCATCCCACCACTAAACCATGTCCCTAAAACTAAACCATGTCCCTATACATTTAATAAATAGTAACCCAAATATATGTTAAGAGAATCCAGATAATTTAAAGTTTCCACTGCTTAGTGTAGGGGATTCAGGATTATCTGTTGGAGTCAGTTTTGGGACGTGTTAAAAGAACCATTTACATTTACGCTCTAAGAAGAGAGTGCCTTGCACTAATGAATGAGGGTTTCTTTAATCATATTGTTCTCACTACAGTGCTTAAGCAAAAAGCATTTCATAGTTAAAAGTTTAGCTGGTCTCTGTTTCTTACACTAGCCTTACATTTTCTCCCTGTTTCCAGTGTCGCCTGTATTCCACAGGAAAGATAAAGTATATCAGCATAGACAAAATTGTAGCATGTATTATAGATTTATTTTGAATCTGCCTGCCATGAAGCTTGTCTGTACTAATGTTCCCACCTAGGACAGCAATGCTAACAAATATTAACTTTTTTATCACCTCTAAAAGCTGTCAGATTTTTTGGTGAGTGATACGCATACATGTAAAAACCACACTCCCTGCCCAACATGGTGCCTAAATAGAACAAGAAGCAAACAAAAAGGGGTGGGGAAGAGAGTACAAACATGTCTATTTTTAGACAAGAATCAATAGATGGGTTTGGTATATTTTTCAGGATTAGGTTTGTGGTTACTTTTTGTTGTGTGGTTTTCGTTTCTTTTACAGGTACGTAGTTTTGACTTGAGATGTACCTTTGTTTAGAACCAGTTCGGTGCCCTCAGAGCAGTGAGATGTCCAGACAAAAAGGAATTTCATCCAGTCCTTCTTTTGAGGAAAACTTAACAGAAAAGGAACAGAGTACAGCCGTACAACAGATCTCATGCTGAATGTCAGTTAGGAACATCATGTTCTGGGAAGAGGGCTAACATGAAACTGGGGTGTGTAAGCAGAATGTTGGCTGCAAGATGTGAAGAGCCTGGTTAGTGCAAATAAACCTTTAGCTGGACTAACATTTCTAGTTCTCAGTACTGCAGGTCATAAAGGATGAGGGAGTCCAGAAGGTCCAAAGGGGAGTGATGAGAACGATCAGACTTCCTAGAAAGAATGCAGGAAAGGGCTGGATAAGTGCATCTTGTTTCTTCTAGAAAAAAAGACTGATGGGACATACAAGTCTTCAAAGCTGTAAAAAGTTGCTATATACAGGAGAGGAAAAAACTTTTCTATTTTCATTGTGAGTGGGACAAAGAGTACTGAGTTTAAGTTGTGGCAGAGGAAATCTAGATCAGTTATTAAGAGAAGTATTCCTTTCTAATAGTAAGTGTAGTCGAGCACTGAATAGATTGCTAAGGTTGTGGAGTCTCCAGCATTAACAATCTTTTTTAAAAGAATAGTTTGGAGAAGTAGTGACAATTGATTCAGCCTTGGAAGAAGAAGGGATTGGTGACTTCCCAAGGTTCCCTCTCCATCTTTTTTCTAGATGCCTTAAAAAAAAAAGGTGTTAAAATAATGCAGGGATATCCTGGAAAAATAGCAAGAATTTATAGTACGGCTTTGCAAAAACATACTGGTTTACACCCATTAGTATTTTCTTTCACATTTGAAATATTTTGATAGTTTAAGTCATGTAAAATGTATTGTGAGTTGAACCATTGAACTGCGCGTTATCCCTGATTTTTTTGTAACCACTTTATTAGAAAGATGGTATGTATAAAAAGAAACTTGTATTAAAAAAAAAAAAAAGCCTGCATTCAGTCAACTATGAGTTTTGTAATTTCTCCAATAGTTCAAAAACATCTTTGATGTTTTTATATCTTAAGCTGAAACAGTATCACTTTAGTGGCAGTGCAGAGCATCATATGTGAGTTATAAGTTTATAAATATGAAAATAATTTGAGATTTCAAAAAAGCGCTGTGTTTATTTTAAGTGGCAAAGTTATTACAATCCAAATCTGTCATTGGCTGGAAAAGCTAACAAAGCCTGAAAAATGCATTTCAAATGAAAACCTTATCCATCTGGTATTGCTTATGTCTTGCAACTGTATTGTGCTGGTCATCACTTAGTCCACATGATCTACATATGATTGTTCAGGGTTTTTTTTTTTTCTTGATTTATAGATGACTTTGATGAGCTTGTGGTGAGTAACAATGATGTTGTGCTCAGAAATATCGCTGAAGACTTACGGAATCATTTACCCATCGAGGCAATGTTTGATTCAGAACATCAAGCTATCCAGAAAGTAAGCTAATTGTTATGGTCTCCTTTTGCTGAACCACATCATTTATTTGGGGCCTATGCTGGTTTCAGTTTTAGTAGTAGTTCATAACAGAGAATGAGCACTGGATTGAGGTATAGGTAATCTGTTTGGTTCTCAGGTCTGTTTCTGCATGATTGTCTGGCCCCAAGAAAGTTGCTTCATAGTTCTTAATACTTTGATCGTAAGTTATTTGGCATAGCTTTCGTTCTGTGTGGTATGGCACCTGTCACAGCGATTCTTTAATGCTAGCTCCATAATAGACTCTAACAGCCCCCTTAAAGAAAACAGAAATACAGGGCCAGTGTTTCACAGTTGCCATAATGTGGGCAGCCTAGAAATGATTTCCAGCTCTTTTCAGATTCTGATGGCTCAGAAAGAGGTGGGCTGTGAGTCCTGTGGGAGGGGAGAGCACCTTTTCTGCTTGAGCTGTCAGTATAGGTTGGAAGTTAACTCATTTCCCAGACAAGTGGTGTGTGGCTCTTAAATGGGAAAAGTGGATTGGCCACATGCAGCAAGCCTGGGAGAGGGAGGAAAGAGGAGTGGGAGGATGAAGATTATACCCCTTGAAATGATGAGAAGGCAAGCATCCCAACTGGTATGCTTGTGATTGAAAATGACATCCGTGTTAACCAGGGGTGTTTCTAGATTGAGGCATAAGGCATGAAGGTGAAAATATTCAGACAGTTGAAGCTGAAAATCAAAATTGCCCTTTGTCGAAAATTTTAAGTTACATTCTCCTCATTAAAGTGGAAGAGAAAAAGCTTTCTTTGCCATGTACCTCCTCTATAGCCAAGCAAGCACTAAAGAGACAAAATCCACAGCAGGTCTCCTACTCAGCTATTGAAACCAGCTTGCTTTCTTGCGTCAACTTCCACTTACTGGTTATTTCAGTGGAATTTGATGATCCAGTTTACATGCAGGATTTGTATGGCTTAATTTTGATTTGTAACTTTTGAGTAGGGAAAAACTTGGCTCTCGGGGATTTTGGGAAAGGTAGGATGGTGAGACAATTAACTGTGTAACAGTGTAAGTGAAATCAAGAGACTTGGTTCTGCCTTTCTTAGGCTTTGTTCCTCTTCTTAGATACACCAGCATCCACTGCCCATGATTCACGTTGATGCATTCCTTTATGATGATGATTTTGTTGATTCATTGTGTGAGGAGGGGAAAATGAGTAGGAGCTACTGCACAGAGTGTGGCTCATACAAGACTGCATCTTTAGGTAAGTGCTCTTTTGGGAACACAAGGAACAAATTCAATTTAACTCAACTGGTTTGTGCAGTGACTCAGCTGGACAACACAACATCCAGCTGACGGAGGACTTTGTCCAGACTAGTGCAGTACACAGGCCAGAATTATTTCCCGTAACCAGTGGAAGGACAGTCGTACACATGTAAGTTGAATTAATTTGCAGTGTATGAGTGACACTAGTTGCCCACAAAAACTGGGCAGGGAAGAGGCAGGGCTGTGTAAAAGGAAGATGCAAGAGGAAGACAATACTGTAAGAGTCCACGCAGTAACCTCAGTCTCCTCTCATGCTGAAAAGCAGTAGAAAGCACCATCTGTCTTAAAGATTGTGTGTGGTGTGGTACAGATGAGCACTGTTACCAGTATAGCACAGGCATTCAAGGAGGAATGGTTTATATGGAGAACATTCCATTCCTTAAAACCTTGGAGTTGAAATTCAAGCTATTAATATGTCTGCCCATAAAAAGGTTTGCATGAATTGTGTGAGACCTAGGTACCATGTTCCCTTTTTTACTTAAACAAATCCAAGTTAATTTGTTTTGTGCTCTTTAATATATGTCACTGTGCAGAAAAAGGTAATTCAGTTTCATGAAGGATTTCAAAATTCTCCGTGTAAGGGAAGGAATCCTCAGACTTGGGACAGACTGATGGCCAGGCTACCTCTGATCTGCAAACCCTGGTTTTCCAGGGTCCCCAGCGCTAGCTCAGGCAGGAAACCATACAGGTTTTCAGTGATGATAACTCTTCAGGTTAATATTTCATTGGTTAATAACACAGTAGTTAGTACTGCCCACCCAACACCTTTGTTCTGTTCTTATTTCCCAGAGTTTATTTCGCATTCCTTTTCCCTCATGGAACTGAAGTTTCTTTATCAACATGTACTGCCTGACCTGACAGGAAAGGTAGTGGTTGACGTTGGCTCCAGGCTTGGTGCAGTGCTATTTGCGGTAACTTCCAGCACAGGAATTCATATTTTATTACTGTGACAAACATTTTCCCTCTTCTCTGACTGCCTACTCTCGTTACTCCATCTTGGACGGGTCATTCTGAGAGGCACCTCTGATCTGACTCTCTGAACAGGATAAGGTGCTGTTTACTAGCGATTTCAGTTCTTGTTCTGTTCCTCACAAGAGGGAATACAAATGATTTTGCCTATGGAGAGGAAAAGTCTGTTGTCCAACAGAGTAGCATATTGCTGTCACACATGCTGCTCTTTTGCTAGTTCCTGTTCTGTCTCTCCTTCGTAAGTTTGTCCTCTACGTCTTGACCATGTCTATATATAGATTAGTTATGTTAAATTCCTTTATGAAGCTGAAAAACTGTTAAATTATACAAAGGAAGACTTTGATATGAATTTGTCTCCAGAAACATATTGTCCTGCTCTGCGTTTTAAAATGCACATAAAATACTTCATCGAGAAACTTGAGTGCAATTTTGATTGCTTTTGGCATGACTGGTGCAACATATGGCCAACAGCAATGCAAAACACACATTACAACTTTCTTACGAAAGTCAATGGCTGTTTAGGGCTCAGTCTTGGAAATGCTTGAGCGTGTAATTTTACTCATCTGAATAATCTAATTTTGGGACTACTCAAACGAAGAAAGTTACTCCCATTTGTAAATAATTGCAGCATTGGGTCCTTAAATGGTAACACTTTTGCTAGCCTGAATTTGTTTTAAAGTACTTAAATGCTTGCATTGTTATAGTAGAAGATCGTCTCAAGATAAAGCAGGGGAAATGGTTTTTAAAAAAAAAGAGTTCTCCTTTTTAATCATGTTCTTGGCTTTTATCGAGGAGGGGTGACTTCACCTTCACAGGTTGCTTTTATACTCACTGAGTTGAATGGTTTCAGAAAACTTTAATAATTAGATTGTAATACATAGATATCTCACATAATCTGTATCTTCAGCATTGTTTGTTGGCCTTTGCCATTCTTGGCGAAGTGTAGTTACGGTGTTCAGTGGACACAATGTCACTTAAAGCAGTATCTTCATTAGGGCCCTGTAGGCTCAAGTATTTGTAGTTTTTTTTCCTAACATCTCCAACAACTTTCCAAAATCTCAGTCTGAAACCGAACCATTATGTTTGGCTTATTATTAAGGGACAATTTACCTTTTTTCATACGTACCTGTATGAAGCACCTGAAAATGGCAGTAATACAACACTTAGAGATGCTGACAAAGACTCTGTACCAAAATATCCCATTATATTACTGGTACATTGTCCTCTGTTTTTCACACTTTCTGACTATGTGTATGTCTCATGGTTGTTTTTTTTCTCTTGCTATTTTCTTCTTTCATTCTCCCAAGAAACAAAAATGTGCAGTCTTTTCCTTTCACACTATTTTTGTAGCTTAGTTTGTACTGCTTTTTTCCTTCTTAGACCATTTTCCATCTATTTTGCAATGGAAGTGAAGTTGGAGCTTCCCTTTTTATTATTTTGATATGTCATTTTGGATCTCTTATAAAGATTCGTGAGATATAAGTGGGAATTGCCAAATCAGGGGCTTAGTTCTGAAAAACATGTCATGTCCACTGAAAGGCATTTCTCAACTTGCTGTTTTAAAATGCTTTCTTAATCTTAACCTGTGTTTTATTTTTTCCATTTTAATTGAAATTTTTGAACTCATTTTAAAGGCATCACAGTTACTAAATTTCCTTTTCCTAATGTAGGGTTATCTTTATAGCTCAGCATCCCAACTGTATGGAGTAGAAATGAATGCAGACTTTTGCCAGTTGCAAGAAATGATGATTACAAAATACCAGTTCATTGACAGAATAAAGGTAACTAAATACATGGTTTAGTGTGTATATTTTTAACCACTGTGTACTAGGTATCCTGTTTATGTGAGTGGCTGGTAAGTCAGCATTCTGAGAAGAAGTTTCTGCCTTCACTTGTTTTGGTTTTAAACAAAGGCTTTGCATTGGGGAAAAAAATCTTAAGCAGAGAGGAAGAGGGAAATCATCAAAATATAATAACATGTGTTGAATCGCTTAGCCTTTTTCCTGAATGGACTTGCCTGCTGGCTCATGCAAAACAGGTATATCTGAGCTGTTTCTCCCAGTGAAATCAATGACATTATTGCCACTAACTTCTGTGAAACTGAGTGTACAAAGAGTTATCTGTCATGAATAACAAAACTAAATGTCTGTGTTCCGTTAATGTTAGCAGTAAAATGTTTGTAGGATTTGCAAATTTGCGTCTTAGAACACCTAAAGGACTTACGACTATTGATATTTTCTTTCTTGGAATATCAGTGCATATATACCTTCCACAAACAAAACGGATTTCAAACTATGCGCTATCGTTATGGGAACCATTTCCCTAGTCCCATTATGGAAATAACTACTACTATTTTCATGAGAAAAAATACATTTTTTTTGCCTTTCTGGGAAATACCGGTTATTTTGTTACCAGCAAAAGTTGGTAAGTAGAATATGATGGGTAGAATACTGACTTTAATCCTGTGTTGTATGCACGCGCTCTTGAATGGAGTCACACAAACTGCTGGGTGTAGTAATTTCTTAGGAATTAAAGTAACCAATTTTAAACTGGAAAGAAATAATAAGTGTAAACTATTTAACACAGGGTAAGAAGTATCATTGGGTTGCGCAATTCAATCCCAGTTGCTGCCAGTTTATCCATAACCTTTGGTTTTTGCATATGTTCTGTGTTCATAACACCTTACTGCAATGAGACTGAAAGTGCAGTTAGGTACTCTGTCAAGTTAATTCAGTGGAGCTGGAGATCTACATGCATGTTTTTCAGCCTTGTATATTCTTTATAATAAGCCTTTTTGTTTTTCCTTCACACCTTGTAATTCTGCTGAAGTATTAATTTCAGAGCATAAAGATAAGAAAATAATATGTTTTCAAAGCAGTGCCTGAGGACTTGGCTATCTGAGCCTCATTAGATGCTAATTTAGTCATGTGACTCCTCCTATCACACTGCTTTGAACATTTCAATCTTAGATTTTTTTTATTTCACACCCAAGTGAATCCTCTCTAGAGATACACACCAGCTTGAAAAATAGTCAGAATCCAGTTGCTGATAATAATTTATGACACAAATTTGAAAAACTTTTAAGAGACCCATCTTAAATAACAATTGTTTTTTCAAGATATTCTGAATTTTCATTGGAGTGGGTTCCCAAAGGACAGCAGGGTGGAATGCTATCATTAGTGGCTAAATCTGAGTGAACTTTGTGTTTCTTCGGTCAACATTTGGTTTGTTAAAATATGTAACAAGTTGCTCAGCATCTTTTGTTGTTTGAGCACGCACTTAGATGCTGGGAGGAAAGTAAACAGTTCAACAGGTCTTAGAAAACTTGACACACACATCGAGATTCAGAAGTCATGAAAGGCTTGGTGTGTATTCCATTGGGCAACAGCACTGTTGTAAAATCAGTTGCTCCCCCCTCTGTTGTGCCGGCACACAACCAAGCAGGTCAGGGAACTGGTCCAGCTGAACAAGAACCCAGCAAAAAAGTGGTGTTTTGGCTGGAGCAATACCTGGGTCTGGCTCATGGTGCAGCCACACACGCTTAGGTGGTCCCATGTTCCCCAATAAGAATGAGGATGTGTCTGGGGAGAATGGGGTGCTTAGGTCACTTTAGCCAGCACAGTCACCTACTCTGTAAATGCGGACTAATTTTAAGTTAAGGTTTAATTGTTACTCAAGTCAAGGAAAGATCTACACGTGTTCAGAGTTTCCCTGTAGTTTAAGCATGTTTCTGAATTGATGCTTAAAATATTAGGACTGCCATTAGTAGGGGATTAAGAAAGTTTGGTGCTAATCGTGACTTCTTGTGCTGCAGGAAGGCCACTGGTGGAGCAGTCCTCCAGTCACTTTTGTTTGGATTACAGGACTGCTGCTCAGTTTTTTTGTATAGAAATTCTGTGGTTTTGTTACTTTTACCCCTTGAAAATAAGAGAGTAAAGTAAAATGTCTCCTTAGCCTCGGAAACAGTGATCCAAACTTGCAGTCTACATAAGTCTGGATTCATGATTTCTGGTAGATCTAGCTGAGGCATGTTTTGCCCCTAGTTGTCTGTCCTGCTCCACCGCGGGAGGCTGTTGCCTGTGTAACAGGGCAGCAGTCAAGCCTGTATCTGTAATACCTCTCATACCACCCCAGTTTATGGTCTTTTATTTTAATCTACAGTTAGCAGTGGCTTTATGCAGAGGACATGAGTTGACAACCAGGACCTACTGTATTTAGGACTGCTAATGGTGGCCTGACTGGTCTGTCTTCTTCCTCTGCTGCCTGAATGCTTGAACTTCTTCATCAGCTCCTGTATTGCTACAGTTTACAGTGCACTGCTTTAAAATAAATTATCACCAATCTAAATTGTCCCCAAAAGCTCTACCTTTCATGAATTAGTGGATAAATAGTTCAGATATCCACACAGTAGAGGTAAAAGTAGAAATTTGACCAGTCATTCTAACAACTAAACTGTCCCTGTTTTTCAAGGAGGTGGAGCCTTCAAACGCTAACCTGCCAGTTCTGGGTAAGGTACAAGAACACTGCTGCTTCCTTTCCCCTCACAACAGGCAGTGGTGAACATCTTGGCATGTGTTTAAGGAGATAAAGCTAGCTGTCACGAGTTGGAGCACTTGCAGAGAACCCATGGGATATAGCTCTCAAAGATGACATGCTGTGATGCCTACTTTTTTATGAATGATAAAGTTATGTTTCTGATATTACTAATATTGAAATATTTGACTACAGTTGCAATTGCTATAATGCATTCTGATAGTATGAACAGGAGTCATAAACTGTGGCAATTCGTCATCTCTTCCACACTTGAACCCTTACGAGTTGCAGGGATGGTAGTATCTGTTTCTCCTGTCAATCAGAACAGCATGCTTTCTGTGTTTGTTATGAGGAGGAATATGTCATTTACCCTCCCAAGAAATACTGATATATTGATAAGTGGGCAAAACGTTTTTCAACAGGTAAGTGTTTTTAATCTTCTATACAGACATTCAGCTTTTCTGCCAGAATTAAGAATTCCTTTTTACATCTGTCCCATATTGGAAGGATTTGACAAAATATGAAATGTTGAATCCATCAGGTCAGTGTATTCCCAGCCCAACCTAGTAATAGGTTGCATAGGAAGGAAAAGAAATTGTTCAAGTTTTCTGTCCATTTTCAACATATAGGGATGCACTTTCAAAAAATTTTGTGGAATGCAAGTCATATTCAGATTGGCTCTCCCTTATCCCTTCAAAAGGTGTTCCAATTTGCATGTCTCCTCAGATTTAGGACGTGATGTATTTCTCCGTGTTTAAGAAGAAATCAAACACATCTTGTCGGAGTGTTAATGAGCATCCTGTTGCTATAATCTCACCTGTTTGAAAATGACATGATGTGCTAATAACCTTTTCGGTAGGTGAAGGTAGATGAAATCAAACCAGCTCTTATGCTGGTTGGAGAGGCAGTTGTTTAATAAGGTAAAGCACTTGCTGTCCAGTGCCACTGAGCATCCTGCCTTCCAGCATTCCCAGTCCCAATATATGTCGTGAGAATTCAGCTGTCAAATCTGGGTCTGTAGCATCTTTTCTAGCTATAATCCTTTAGTAACCCACTGAGCCTGTGAGATGCCTTCTAATATCCTCAAAAAAGCTTCAGCTAGCTTAGCTCCTTTCCTGAAATCAATGAGCGTTTGTGATAAATCTGTAGGTAAGTGAAATGTAGGAGCCATCACATACATCATCTCCTCTTTTATGATACTCAGTGTCCTAGTCCAAAAGTCAGATGTAGTTTATTTCACTTAATGTAATGAACTGAGTATTTTAATTAGAGGAAATAAATCTGGGGTTTTTTTTCATTTTTTTAAAGCTTTTTCTGGTTATTTACTTCAGTTTTATCTACTATGAAGCCAGTGAAATACCTGTTTTTGTGACTGGCTCAAAATGGTGGTAGCAGGTCCTGTTTTATGTTGATAGGTTTCATGGCTACTTGAAAGCTGTATTTGTCTCTTAAATTAATGTATGCCTTGTGAAATTTTTCTCTTTCAGGTGGTTCACGCAGACATCTGTACTCAGGCTTCACTTCTTCAGAAGGCTGATGTTGTTGTAATGAATAATGTCTTTGAATATTTTCTTGACAGACAGGAACAGGCCAGGTAAGCTATGTGTCCAAACAAGTAATCTATTTCTTTGGCAGTGTGCGTGTAACCTTGTGAGTTATGGAAAACCTTAAGGTTGTGGTTTTTTGAAGTCACATACATAAATTACATAAGGAAATTGTTTTAAACTGCCTACACTTAATTGTTATACTTAACTGCTACGGTGTTATGGCAGTTGTTTGTTGTTAAACCCACTAAACACTGCTGCTTTCTTTGCCCAAACCTTGCCCTGAATCCTTGCACTGATCTGTTAAAATAGTATCTTGCTGCTAAAGGATCTGAAACTACTGTATCAGCATAAAGCTTAATCTTCAGAAAGAAGACAGGTCACTGACTTGTGGATGTCAGAGCTTTAATATAGATGCACTGCAAAACATGGCTAGTAATGATATTTCTATTGTGGTAGCAAACAAATGCGTGGCTAAGGTTCTTCTCTTTCAGGTGCAAGACACTCACAGATGAGCTTTTGCTAATCCAGCAGTATTAGTTTAAAGTGTAAATAACATTACCATCCAAAGTTACTGTGCCTTTAGAACGGGCAGTCAAAAAGGAAGGGTGCCTGTGTCTCCACCATCCCAGTCAACAGTCTTGATGTTCACTAGCAGTTTCAGCTAAGGCTTGTCCTACTGCCCTACTACACCCAAGTGGTAATGTCAACCAGAGAGGCACAGAGTGGATGGGTGAAAGGTAGTGGGTGTTTCAAATTGCCAGGAAATTTGTTTTCAGGTGCATGACTGAGAATTCATTTGATTCTTCAAGAACTCGGGGGTAGTGGTTTAATGTTGCATTAGTACCATGAAGACAAATGACATTTGAAGAATGCTGGAAATTAAATTCTTTTTAGTCTGAATTGCCATGCTGTAAGAAATGATATGACTTGCACAATCAGGAGAAAAAGGAATGCTGGGGGCTATATTTAAATACTCTGATTGCTAATGTCTTAAGTATTTTGTCACGACTGCAAAGTATGTATGTAAAGAGCAGCTTGTTGTTAAGCTTTATAAAGCAGTGCGCAGTGCGCTCAGAGACTGAATTTTCTTCAAAACCAAAAGTTCAAAGGAACCAAATGTCGATGTTTAATCCCAGTCCAAAGTGAAGGTGTTGACAGTACAAAAGGACATGCATGTATGTATCAGAGTTAAAAAATTACAAAATCTAACATTGTAAGACCATCTATTCCCTCTGTTCTTAATATGAAGCTTGATTTTGTTCATACAAAGATATTTTCTTAATTAGTAGTGACTGATGAGCATGTATAGCAAGACTTTAAGCTTAGTCTACCTCTGACCACTAAACTGTAAAGTGTTAGATTCCTTTTATATCAAACGTGGGTTTTTTCCTAAAAATTGGTGACCTACTTTTAAATATGTTTCAGAGCTTGGGAATTTATTGCTTGTAATGTAAGGAAAAGAGGGTCCTTATTAGTGACAGTTCCGAGCCTTAAAGAATCGCTCTCAAAGCTCCAGGTAAGTTCCCTCAGCCAGTTTTAGCCAATGCATTTTGTCACTGCCTATGAAAGTGGCAGTTCTGTAGTTGAGGTTAGCTGCTTGCCAGTGTTGCTGTGAGGAAGGGTATGTAATTTTGTGAGCAGATTAAAAGATGTAGCACTCTGGATTCTATTTCTGTGTTGACCACCAGCACATCTTTCTGTACTTTGATTGTCCCCACCTGTAAAATGGAAATCCCAGCCTTTACCAATAGGCTTCATGGATCATTGTATTATCATGTGTATTATTAACAATACCTTAGCTGTGAGGTTAAAAACCCCACAAAATGTTAGCAAAGCTGTATTATAATGTGAGTAAGTTTTGTGATAGCCCCTTCCATCAGAGTTCTTCTAGGTATAGGGGTAGAACCTCAGAAGTACAGATGTATTTATAAACTTCTAGAGGCAAAACCTTGAAATGTTTTCTCTATTCAGCTCTACATTTGCATATTGCCTTGAAACGTGACAAGCTGTTGTGTTAAGCCAGTGGGAGAAAGGGTCATAGTAAAGAAGGACCATCCCTCAGGATGTTCTCTCTACTGACCTGCTGTTAGCATAGAAAATGACTCGTTATATGCCAGTATGAGCTGCTAGAAGTACAGATTAGGGAGAGATTACCATCAGCGCCTCAGATCAGTGTCATAGCTTTAAATTGCAGCTGGAAACAAACATGATGACAGTGCAACTTTCAAAGATGTTGAATGCCCGGTGCTGCAGCTGCTGCTCACTGAGCAGTAACCACTTCCAACGGACCAACCTCTGCTCTGTGTCCATCCTGCCATAGGTCATCAGTAGATTACAGTTATTACGTGTATGATGCCTAGACAAATTATGTGGGCTGGCTTTAGTTAGGAAACAAAACACTGATCATACATGACAAGGTTATTTACAAAGTGGCTTGCTTGCCACAGCAGTCTGCTTCAGAGAAATTGAATCACTTGTTGCCTGTATGCTGATGGGTGAAATAGATCCTCAGCCCCAGGAGCAGCAGTGGTGTCATTTGACCTTTTCTTGGAGCGTGCAGGAGTTACCCAGCAGCTGAGAAGCCCTTTGTAGCCTTAGTACAGTCCTCCCAGGGTGTAAAACAGGAATGTATGTGTGAATCTTCCATGGTACAGTTAGCTCCTCCCCCAGTACTTCTGTCAGAATGTTGCCCTCTGGTCAGGATGCTTGAGGCTTATACAAATGATACAGAGAAGCAGTTGTAACGTGCTAGCAAAATATCTAGACTATTGATGAGATAATTTTTAAAATTTATCTTTATTCTCTCCTATTTAAGTTAAACGGCATTTCCAGAAATGGATTTATTATTGCTGCATAATTTGCAATGACTAATATCTCTTATTATGTCTTGCCTTCTTAATGTTGTACTGACCTTGAAACTCCTGTTATGTTTCTCAACATTGTGTTAATTCAAGGATCTGTTTTCATTGTTTCAGACAGATATACAGGTCAACCAATGGGTCGAAGAGGTGCGGCTAAACTATGATGTGTACATGGAAAAGGATGTTGACAGAGAAGCACTTGAACAAATACATTTATACAAGATTCTCTAGTACCTAGAAAAATATACTAGTATCCTTGTAATATCATACATTTTGGATCTAAAATGAATTTGGATTGATTTGTGTGAATAAATCAGGTCAAAATTCTTATTGTGATTAATTTGGGTCATATTTATGGTTTGTAATGAAAAAGAGTCTTTTGAAACAGGTTTTGTTACGGGGGCATTCTGTCTCAACAGAATATATTGACTTTTAACTAAGAAATGTCCTTATAGTTTAATTTTTGCAGAAATATTAGAAAAAGTGGCTGTTGCTAAAAGAATTTTTGTTCACTAGCATTGTGCATTGCTCATGTTTGCTAAATATATCAAACCTAAGAATAGCAAATCATTATTAATGTGAATGATAAGAATGCGTTTAGCATAATGTTACTTAAAAGCTGCAGTACGTTGGAGTTTGCTGTTTTGGTTTGGTATAGACCATTTATTATTATCAGTAGTAATACTTACTATTAACAGTATTATCTTTAATGTTCTCCTATGGAATTTGTAGGTTTTCTTTCCAGGGTCTTCTTGATAACCAGAGCATCTGCTGGCATCAGCTACGAGCAGCAAGTCCTTCCATTTAGTTAGTTGTCCTTAAGGTGGCTACTAATGTAAAATACTGAAAGACACCGAGGAGCCATTGAGAATTAATACAGCACATCCAAGATGACAGAGCTCTATTCCGCTTCCTGCACTCCTGCTGGGGATGGTAGGAAGTGTAATAAGGGGTTAAGAAGCTGAAAATTCTGAACAGGTGTCACGACTTAGCGGAGGCTTGGTGGTGGCGTAAAACATTGGAAATTCGTAACAGAGCCTCCTCAGAGAGAAAAGATCCACATACGCCCACCACATTTATATTTAGATTTTACGTTCTAAGGATGTGAAGCTTTTAGTCAGCTGAAGAATGTCTCGATTTTTAGCAAACATTAACAATCCAAGTGCAAAAATACTAACTTCAGGAGTTTTGGACTAAGTGTGTTGTGAATTTAGAAGTTCTTGGTGCCTAAAAGTTTGCTACACAGCTATGTCTAGTGCAAATGGGAAAAGTTTAAATTGGATTTCAGTCTTCAAGTGATTTACAGGTCAGTGAACTTGATAATATATGCTGTAAGCAAAAAGGAGCAGTGGCCATTAGGCACTCACTAACATAGTAAGTAAATGGTACTGTAGAAAGGATAGTGAGTCATAAGAAGTCTTATTTTTCATGCTCTGTTTGGAGTGGAGGATGTTTTAACTTGAGTGATACTGAGCCGTTGCCCAAATGCTGTGTTGAATCTATTATTTTCTTTTTTCATTTAAAAATGAACAAAGACTGAAAGCTTTTCTTAAAGCATTTATTTTATTAAAGTACAATAACTGAACTGTGGATTACTTAGTTGTCAATGAGACGATTGCCCCTAGAAAGGGAACCTAGGAGAGGCTAAGCAACAGGGTGGAGGTAATGCAAGGCTAATAGATCTAACAAGGAGAGAATAAAAAATGAGAAAAGAAATGCATGTGCAATTCAGAATGAGGAAATGAGCACTATAGTAATCAGTACAGTACAGTGGAAGCTGTGACTGAATTTGGAGTGTATAAATAGGCTGCTATAAAAGGAAAACTGACTGGGTCTTAAAGAGCTGCTTCATAACCCTACTATCATGTGAGAAGAAAACACCATGTTGGAATGTTGCTTACTTCTTCCAGAGATGCTGCAAGATCTCCCAAATCAATTGTCGGGACTTTTGCCTCACGATACTGGGTATAATCTGTGCCCTGCACCTTGATTTGGTAATATGGGAACTATCGCTTTCATTGCAGTTGTTTCCCCTTTTCATGCTGAGTCTTCAAATAGTTTTTTTGGGTGTTGATCTTAGATAAAAAAAATTTCAATAGACTGGAGCAGATCACCAGCATGTTTAGTGACATCTGTATCCTCTGACTCTGGAAATAGCATGCACGCATCTGGAGCTCATATGCAACAGAGGGTGCAACGGGGAAGCTCCCCCTGTCTTTTTTAGACATCAGGAGAAACTCAAGAGGTGAGTTCAAGCTGCTGAAACTTCTGTCTTCCTCTCCTGCCCTTACCAGGTCCTTGATTTAAACCTGCACCCCAACACGTTCACAGAGAAGAGGTGGTGGTAATTCAGGTTGGTTTTGTCAAACTGATGCTCAGAAATACAACTTCTCTGTTCCTTTAGACATCTCTTCCTCGTTTGGCTTTGTAGGGCTGGAGTTCATAGGGACGTTCATAGGGATGCTGCGAGCTGCTTAACTCTTCTACTGAAGAGCTGGAAACAACTGGTGTGCGAAAGAAGGTATTCATCGAATTTGTCGCTTTTCTAGCTTTAACTTTTGTTATCTGGCCCCTCTTAGTCCTGTTACAGATCTCCTCACACAAGGGTAGCAGGAGTAAGGTGTGAGGAGGTTTGCAAAACCCTGTGTGAAAGTGGGCAAATCGGCCCTCCCTGTATGTGCTCCGAGGGCCTCGGTTGTCAGCTGGAATCCTCCCAAGAGTGTGTGTGTTGCCTCAACTCAGGTTCTGCTGCTTCGGCTCGAGGAAGCTGCCAAGGGTATAGCCCGCCGAGTCCTTGTTCTCAGTTCTGCTACTGCCGTATTGCGCAGTACTTGGCAGATGACCGAACTTTCCTCTGCCTCAGTGTCTACAGTGAAAACGGGAGTAACAAATCCAAAATCAGAGCAAGGTGGTGAATTAATTGAATATCAATTGCTTTGAGATTGTCATATAAAAAGTGCTAAACAGCCAAGCTGTTCTTTGTAAACTGACCTAATTTAAAAGACCTGAAAGGCAAAGAAAATACCAGTACCTCTCTGAGAGAAACTTTCTGGCCCTTCTCTTCACAAGGCAGCATTGAAGAGGAAGCCTAGCTTAACCACGCTACGGTGCTGAAAATGCATAAATAACTATTTCCTAGTGCCCTCAGTTTTCACACTATCCTTGCTGTTAGATGGCCACTGGTGTTGGGAGGAGGGGAGGGGGGAGAAGCAAACCCCCACTGGTACCCAGGTTTTGGGGTTTGCGTGCCGAGCAGCTCCGTGGCAGCGCCCC